AAAAAAAAAAAAAAAAAAAAGGAAAGCCAAGAATTAAGACAACCTAGATGACCTAGCTGAAATTTTTTTCAAACTAGAAAAGAGGCCAATTTTGAGTATAGCATGGGGAATTTAACCCGGGGGTTTACCACCACTCTTTCCTACTACCTAGTAAGATGACAGAAAAGAAAGCTTAAAAAGGCACAGACTTCACAAGGAATAGGGATAGAAGATGAGGCAAAAGATAAGTGTGTAAGTAGAAAGTGGAAAGAGAAAGATGTGTATCAATCTGACACAACCCAGCAAGTCTCATGATTTTAAGGCACAAGTACTAAGGGAAGAGCAAAAATGAAAAAAGGGTCACTGGCTAAAAAGTCTAAAAAGCAGTTAAAAAGACTCTTATGTTCTTTCAACAATACATATGCACACATTCTTATTATCTCTCAATCATTCTCTCTTTCACACAAACATACTTAAACATACTGTCAAAAACACAGCTACTCTTTAGAAATATGGAACCTGATGAGACTCTAGGACATTTGGCACATGTGAATGTGGCAGTAACACATTGAAAGTATAAAGGTATTAAGTAACAGCTGACTTACTGAATAGTAAGTAACACTAGCACTCCTTACCTCACTAAGCTGCAAGAAATTGTTAGCAATTGGGCTTCCATCTCCCTAAAGGGAACTGAGGAAAATTCATCGCAGTGAAAATGGTCTTCAGATACCAAAAGCTAGTGATCCTCTTACTAGAAACACCCCAGCAAGATTATTCTACAAAACAGCTCACAAGTAACATACGCAAACTGCCAACTACGATTAAATAAACATAAGCCATGAATCACCAAGTACCTGAAAAGAAAATTTTTTAGACAAGACATAGCCCAAGGCAATGGGGGGACTGAAATATGTTATGTACATGTACCAACCAATTCCCTACAGAGGATGTAATCATTACGTGGTACAAACATATGAATACACATTAAAAAAAAAGTGTAGGTGGAGGGACCAACCATCTCGGGAAGTAGTGGGGTTTGGGAATGGAGAGAAGGGAAGCTGGAAAAGAAGTTGTCTGGATTTATATCCCAGGTCTACTGCTTACGAGCTGGGGTCCCTCGGCTGTTTATAAAATCTTTCTGTGACTTAACTCACCTAATGTATAAAATAAGAATGAGAATATTATCAATCTGCCTGCTGTCAAAATTAATGTATTGTAAAGAACATGGGATATTACATGCCACATCATAAGTGTTCGATAAATGTTGTTTAACAACAATAAAAAAAAAGACATAGGCCAAAACAGAAAGTAAAGGAACTCAAAGGAAACAAGTTAACTCAGGGAATTAAAAAACAAAACAAAACAGGGCCAGCAATTTAGCTCAGAGGTTCTGCCACCTGCCTCGCAAGTGCAAGGACCCAAGTTCGATCCCAGTACCAAAAAAAAACTTCAAAAACACTCTTCAGCAAGATAAAACACTGCATCCATGAAACAAAAATAAATAAATAAGTCATAATAAAAGCAAAAAATTCTTAAAAGTGAAAACTATTAAAGAAAAACATGAACAGTTCCAAAGAGATTAAAAAACATTTTCAAGCAATTATATAAACTATCTCCCTCAAAGTATGGAATCAGTCAAGTTCATCTCCCAGAACTGAATTAAGAGGAGTTTCCAGACTGAAAGTGCCCAACCCAGTGTAAAAAGACACACACCAGGCACATCATTGTGTAATTTCAAGGAAATGAAAACAATTAAAAGATATTAAAAGATTCCAGGGAAGAAAAGGATAACACAAAAAGTTCTATAATCTGCACAGCATCTAATTTCTCAAAACTAATATTGAAAAATGAAGACAATAGAACAATAATGCCAAAATGTTGTTGGGGGGAGTGGTTCCAAACCTAATAGTATCCAACCCAGCTGATATCCAACCAAAATATAAGTAAGTATGAGAGAAAAACAAGGTACTTTTAAGCATGTGTGTTCTAAAAAAAATTACCTCTTGTACTTCTTCATAAAGCTAATCAAAAGAATTAACCAAAAAAGAGAAAATCTTAAACACGAGAAATAAGACCCTTGCAAGCGCAAGGTCCTGAGTTTGACCCCCATACCAAAAAAAATAAACAAATAACAAAATTTCATTTATGCTCACTTCGGCAGCACATATACTAAAATTGGAATAAAGAAATAAGAGCTCCATCCCAAGAGAAAGACAGTGGAATCCTGAGGATGAGAGTGAAGTAAAATCTGAGGACAACAAAGACCTAACAACCTATAAAACAAATTCATATTGGACCCAGAGGATGGATGGCCCCAAGAACTGCTTTAAACAAAAACAATGAAATTAACCTATTAATCAAAGGATTTGAATGCATGAATAAAACAATTATATCTCTCAAAGAGAATGCACAGATGAATTACAGATACATATTACAGGTAACAATTACTAACTAAAGACAAGACTCTGGCTAAAAGAAGATATCAGGAAATCACGTGGCTCAAACTGAGTAATATAAGCAGAATCATTATATAATCAATGCAAAACTTTCCCACTGAAAAATTGTAATTTTATTGGGAAAACAGAAAGGGAAAAGTATGTAGATGCATGGGAGTGTCTACATATGCGAGGGAGGAAAAGAATAAAAGCTAAATCCTCATCTGATCTGCCACCAAATTTCTTCTACCTTTATGCTCCAGATTGATAACTTCAGTAACTCACTGGTATTCTCTACACTTCCTTCAGTCTGATGAGGAGATGGTGCTAAATACTACTTGCTATGATCACCAAAATGCTAAATACCCTGGGTTACTGCATTCCTAGAGAAAGAAGGTACCAGAGATATACACATTTATATCCTATATGAACAGAAATCAAAGTATGCAAGGGGTATTGTCCTGCTAACGTGCTTTCCAGGAAAAGCCTACACACTCGAGGGTGCGGGGAGGGGACGAAGGAGAAGGGGATGAAAAAAGAATTAAGATGTGTTATGTATTGATAAATTTTAAAAATATGAAATGTAAAGCCTGAGATTTAGCTCAATAGTGCTGCACCTGCCTAGCCAGAACAATGTGCTGAGTTTAATCCCCAGCATCAGAGGAAGAAAAAGAAAAAGGAAAAAAGAAGAGGGGGAAAATAATCATATATACTTTCTGACATAATCAATTAAAAATAAATTATTTGTTATCTCTTCCTCTTGAATTGTTCCATTAAATCTTGTCTCTATATGTTGGTCTACCAAATTGATGAGTTATTTTGGTTCTCATTGTCTTCACTTTTTTATTTGAGAATTTGTGAAATCTGTATATATGAGTAGTATGAAAAGTATTAAGGCCCATCTGTCATTTTCCTCTTTCATCTCTGCTTTCTACAAACTTCCTTTTCTGTCATTACAGCTTGTTCAGTTGGAAATTTGTTAAGATAAATGTTGTTATGTTATCAATATATCTTTGTACTTATTTTCTACTGATGATATTAATTTTTAAGTAAATTTTAATATAACTATACTTAATCATGAATATCATTTAGTAACTGATACATATTACAAATTCTTTGTCTCCTTCAAAGATAGTATGTGTTTATTCTCAAATTATACAAATCACCAACATTCCAGACATCACTGCACTATTTTATTATACCTAAGTATATATTGTATTGTAGAAAATATGCATTGTGTATATGTGTGGGGGATATGTTTTTACATATATGTGTGCACTATTAAATGAGAAACATGGGCATGAATGTGGTAGGATTATGCACATTTGACATATTGATAGTTTCTCTGGCAACCTTATGATTTCTTTAAATTACATGCCTGACTTCATAGTCATTTGTTTGAGAAGAATATGACATATCTATTGGTGTTAAATTCTATCATTATGCTTATAAAAATATAAAAATAAGTATGGGATATAATAAAATAGAAACAGAAAAATCTGATCTTAAAAATGTGAATTTTTTTAGTTGCTTTTGGATTTCAAATATATTTGGATTTCAAGTATATTTTTTCTGTGGGAAGTTTTGTTAGAAAATTTAAGTGGTACAATCAACAAGTATATGATATTTATCAATTAATTAAACCAAGGAGTTTATAAATCATAAAACTATGAGGACAGTTTCTCAACTATAATATGTAACTTTATTTTATTTATAATTACATTATTTCAAAAATATTATAAGAAAATGAGAAAGAATATAATGTTTGAAGATCATATCAAACTAATGTATTTCGATTAGTCTGTTATATAAATTCTTATTTCATATCCTTTTTTTGCTGTCATAATATGTATATTTGAAGTTTTTATTTAGTATCTTCATTTCTTATCATGTAACTTTGCAATCTTTAATTAAAAAAAAAAATTCAAAAAAAAAGATGTGTTATACACATGTAAAACCTCCCCACAAGGAATGTAATCACTACATACTACAAATATGCAGTAATAAAAAACTAAAACTGAAGAAAAAAAGAAAAGAAAATCTATTTAAACCATAACCTAATCTTTGAATAGGATGTAGCAGGGTGAGGTTTTAAATTGCTAGTCTGCTTTTGCTACAGGGAGCAAAAAAAAAAAAAAAAAAACCCCTGTATATTCTAAAAGGGGGCAGTAGCTACCTGCTAGAATATTGCACTAGTTCTTAAGGACTACAGTGGTTTTCTTGAATGGGCTAGTTACTGTGATGAGAAGTGATTTGAGATTTTTTATTGGTTTAAAATAATACATTTAAGAACTTCCTAGTTGGTGGGAGTGCAGACTGGTGCAACCACTATGGAAATCAATATGGAGATATCTCAAAGAGCTTGGACTGGAGGTTCCATTTGACCCAGCCATCCCTCTGCTGGGTATCTTTCCAAAAGAACTAAAAGAATCATATCACAGAGAAGTATGTGCACCCATGTTTATAGCGGCACAGTTTGCAATAGCTAAATCTTGGAAACAGCCCATTTGCCCATCTGTTGGAAACTGGATAAAGAAGATGTGGTTTTTCTATAAAATGGAATATTACTCAGCCATAAAGAACGAGAAAATAGATTCATTCATAGGAAAATGGATACATATTGAAGATATGCTTCTAAGTGAAATAAATAAGTCACACATGTGTAAATACTGAATAGTTTCTCTGGTGTGAATAATCTGCAATAATACATAAGATCCTAATAAGATTACCGACATTTCGAAAAGGGAAGAAAGGAGCTAAAGGTGTAGGGAAGGTGGGATGAGTAGGGGAAGGGTAATAAGGGAAAAGAAAAAAATATGAGATAATGAAAAGATGGAAATTTAGTATTTGTAGATGGGGAGGGGAGGAGGGGGTGAAGGGAGGGCAGGGGTAAGGGGAAAAAATGAGAATCAAGACTTGTCATGTGGAGGTACAAGATCCCAACAATGAATGTAACTGTACTATATCCCTAAAATGTACCAATAAACTCAATTAAAGCTGAAAAAAAAAAAGAACTTCCTGACTCTTCCTAGTCTAACTCCTAGCCCTGATTGGTTACAACCACTAATAAACAATGCTGTTAGAAAAAAAAAAAAGCCCACTCTTGTCCCTAACAGGGATTAGCCATGAGTGTGGCCAGAATGCCTATAATTATACATTCACAAACTGAAGAGTCTCTACAGAATACAAACCTGTTTTTGACTTTCCTGAAGTTGGGAATTTTCACTCAAAGCATCTTTTTTTGCTCCCTTAAGTCGTTCTTCATTGATTTGAAATATTTTGAAGGTTGTTTTGGCCTAAGTTAAAAAAATATATATAACTATAGTTTATAATAACTAATCTAACAAACACTCATCTTCACATTTTCCCTAAAACATGTAATTTAAACAAAGACAAATATGTGCCAATATTGATAACAAAGGCAGCCTTTTATAGAATACAGATGACCTACTGCTAACTCTGCCATCAATGTGCCGAGTGAGCTCAGACAAATAATTTAACCTCTCAGTAACTTCTACTGTGCAACAAATTTTGTTAACTATTTATTATATGTCTCCATGATTAAAAGTTAAAACTCCAAGGGGTTTGTCTATTGTTAAGTGGCACACACCTCTAATACTGTTCAGTATTTAACAATAACAATAAATATTTATCCAGTGAAAAATAACTTTTCTGAAGTACTTCACATAAAAAAACCTAAGATCTATATCTCAAACCCTAATACAGTATCTTATTCCTTAATAATAAAAATAAAATTAAATAATTTTCAAAAGCAACAGCCCCAATAGACTAATTCAACTTACTTCAGCTACTTGGGATTTGAGAGATTTTGATTCATCTTCTAGGGTCTGTATCTTTTCTGCAACATCAGCCATCTAGAAAGACAGTATCAATCAATAAGCAAAAATTCACCATACCATTATATATATAAATATAATATACTGCTCAGCTAACACTCTTGTTCCATAAGTGAGTGCTCAAATCAACCTGTCAGTTAATTTACCATATGCTGCAAAGGATTTTATATCAAAGTTATACAACTACCTCATCTCAACTTTGATATTTCATAACACACAAGTTCAAGTCCACCAATATCACATCTTATTAAATAATCTCACACATCAAGATGTTCCTTAAACCAGATTTTAAAATAAAGTTATAATGCTTGCTATATATAATTTAAAATGTATGTGATGATTTAATTTAAATTATTTGAGTTACTTCGACAGCACATATAGAAATGTCTTGAAGAATGTGTGTGAGAGTCAGGCATGGTGGCACACAAGACACTGATGCAAGAGGATTACTGTGAGTTCAATGCCATCTGAACTACACATTGAGACCCTGTCTCAGAAATAAAAAAAAGAATACGCATGAAACTTTGGGTAACATCTAGGAAGTAAACAGTGGATCTGGAAAATTTTGTTTTCTACTTTATAACTAATAGTCTTTTCACTGTTTTTCACAGTACATGTAATATTTTAACCAACATCATATTTATCTTTAAAACTCAAAACTTTCTTTCCTTTATATTCTTCTCAAATACAAAAGCCTTACCAATTCATCTTGTTCAGAATGTTTAGATTTCTCATCATTTAGTTCTTTTTCAAGAAAGAGTATTTCATCTTCAAGCTTAGAATTGTTCCTCTCCAGCTTTTCACAGGTTTCCTAAAACAGAAAGCAAACTTATGACAGACATGGGAATTTGTGGTTAGGGTACATCAGATGGATAGAATCAAATGTATGTATATTTGTATATTTGCTCACTTTTATAATAGTAAAATAATAGCAATGCTAGCAGTGGTCAGCAAACTTCTGTAAGGAGTCAGAAAGTAAATATTGTGGTCTTCAGGGCCATATAGTTTCTATCATATTTGACTGTCATTGTTATGAACAACAAAGTTAATACCTAAATGAATAAACATGGCTATGTTCCAATAAAGTTTTATTTACAAAAAAAGGCAGAAAATCCACTAAGCAGTTTGCCAGCTCCCATTCTAAAGCATGTTAAAAAGCATGTTAAGGAAAATATGATAAATTAATCTAATTGCATATAAAAACAAAAAAATAAATTAAAAACCAATTAAGATTGCTTCATGGTAAAAGTCCCCATTGAATTATGACACATTTCATAGAATCTTTGTGATTTAAAATGATTAGTTACTGGATTACTCCAAATGGATTACTATAATAAACATACCTTAGATATTTGCGATCCTTCATCAAACTTGTTTAAAAAAATAATAAACCAAAAGATAGTACAGTAATTAAAAAATGTGTTTACAAAAATTTCCTCAAATCTGACTATATCATAGGAATTCTCTGACTTGAATCTAAATTACTCTGTTGGTTTGTTTTGAAGGTTTTTCTTAAATTAGTACATGTTTGAATACATGCAGTTTACTATCATCTTGGGGAGAGGGTACATGTACATAATGCAGCTTGATTCTGTTTTTAGTCACCTTCCCACCTCCTTTACTCCCTCCTCTTCTAAAACCCCTTTCCCCATTTTCGTTCCCACTGATATTATCATCTTATCTTGTGTGTGTTACACACAGTGTTTACAACGATCAAGGTGATCGGGTTCCTGTACATGGCACATATTTATTCTTCTTATTTCCCTTCCCTGGCCACCTCCCCTTGCCCTCAGTCTCCCAGATGGCTTGGTTTTTATGTACAGATTCAAACATCAAACTTTCTAAAAATTGTATCACCTTGTAGTTTATATTCAATTATATTTCTATTCCTAAAAAGAAGATTTTAAAGTTAGAGAAAATTTTCCAAAACATTCAATTCAGCTAAAAACTAATTTTGTTACACAGTGAGTTCCAGGTCAGTCTCAACTACGTAGTAAGACCCTGTCTCAAAAAATAAAATAAAATTTAAAAAAAACTAATTTTGTTGCTAGACAAATTCATTACATCGAAAGCAAACTGAGGAGCTGGGGATTTAGCTCAGTGGTTCTGCCTCCTGCTTCACAAGGGCAAGGTCCCAAGTTCAATCCCCAGTACCAAAAAAAAAAAAAAGAAAGCAAACTGATGTACTTCATGCGTAACACCACCAAGCTTGAGTAAATAAATCTGTGATACCCTGATTTTGCTCTTTTCTGTCAGTATGCCAAATGCCTTCTAAATTTTTTTGTATTTACCAAACTAATAAATTCTACTGGGACAAAACTTAGAATGAAAGTTCAACAATGAAATATAATAACTTTAATAAGTTCTTGAGGTCACTTAGAAGTAACAATTGAAGAAAGATTAAGAAATTTATTTGGAATCCAATTTATAACTTCCTTTGGACTATAAGGAAATTCTGAATCATGACACATAGACTTTCTGCTTACAGACAAGTCACTGAGAATTCCCAACTGGGAATAAACATATACACCAAAGGTACAAGGGTAAAGATCTACTCTCCAGTTTAACTAGCAAGTGCAGGTGTCTTCCTTTTTTATTTTTGAGGTCTCGCTATGTGGTTCAGGCTGGTCTTGAACTCACAATGTAGCCCAGGCTGGCCTCAAAATTGAGGCAATCCTCCTGCCTCAGCCTCCAAGTGTTGGGATTACAGGTGTGTGCCACCATGCCAAGAACAGGCATCCTTTGCCACTACTCTTCTTTTTACAACAATTCCACCTCTAAATAGTCTTAACTAATCTAACTTGAGCTACACTACAAATTAACATATTTCTTTATAATTAGCTAGTCACACCTAGTGTAGGAAAGTCACCTGTGTATATCTCTTCCAAATTTCTCATTCAGGGACATCATGTAGGTAGCCTGAAAATGATCATGGCGGGAGTATTTATATCATAGAATGCAGCAAAAGCTTTTTAGACAGCACTGCACACTTCTTTGAAATATTTTGAAAGACACGCTCTTCTTAAAGTTTATGACACTTAATCAAAACTTTTTCCCAGATTTTTAAGTTACACCACAGTGTTTTACCTCCAGACTTTGTGCTTCTGTTGACTCCTTCTCAAAGCTGGCATCCTTTAAAGAAGATTCTAAAGCTTCATACTGAAACAAGGCAATGCAGAAGTAAAAACTACAAATTTTATTCCAAATTTCATCTAGGTTGCCACCTAAAGAGCACACAGAATCTACCTCCACCTGTATGTTAATTTTCCTTGGATTTACTTACCTTTACATTCATCACTGACCACTATTACAAACAAAGCCAGGACAGCCAATACATCACAATTCACTAGCTTTGACAACACCCTAAGACTAAGAAAGCTGTCCAAAGTCTTCTTAGAAAACAGAACGACAACTCATATGAACATTCTTTACTTAAAAGGAAGTGAAAAGTCTAAGAGAAAGTTTATACTAAAGAGTATTCAAATATTTATTTAAAAGTATATTTTTTGAAGCCAGACATGGTGGCACATGGCTATAATTCCAGCACTCCGGGAAACTGAAGCATAAGGATGGGAAGGGAATATGAGCCCAGCCTGGGAAATTCAGCAACACACTGTCTCAAAATAAAGAAGGGCTGGGGGTATAGTTCAATGTGAAGGCACCGAGTTCAATCCCAGTACCACACACACACACACACACACACACACACACACACACTCAAAAGGTATATTTTTGTATAAGTAAACTTCTCTATGTCTACTCATTAAGAGAAATTTACTCCAGGCGTGGTGGTGCACGCCTGTAATCCAGCACTCGGGAGACTGAGGCAGGAGGATCACTGTGCATCGAGACCAGCCTAAACTACATAGTGAGTTCCAGGTCATTCTCAACTACATAGTGAGACCCTGTCTCAAAAAACCAAAAAAAAAAAAAGAAATTTACAATAACTGGCCATCAGAATTTCTCATTTGGGGATGCAATTCTGGGGACTGAACTCAGGACATTCACACTTACCTACATCTACAGCCCTCCCCTTTTCTTAAATTTTTTATTTTGAGACAGGGTCTTGTTAAATTAAATTGCCCAAGCTGGCCTCAAACTTGTAATTCTCCAAGCCTCGATCTCACGGAGTGCAAAGATTACAGGTTTGTGTCCCTGGCCAGAAAACTTCACTTTTAATTCATATTATACAACAAATAAAGTAGGGAATATAAAGTCTTTAAAAGATAGAGAACAACCAAAAACAAAATCATCATTATGTATGAAAAATACAGAATGTTGAAGGCACTTGAAGACTTCAAAGAAAAAGTGCCTAAAAAGGCTTGGTTGTTTTTTGAATAAACTTGCCTGCTAGGAACAAGAAGAAATGAATAAAAATATCAAAAATATGATCTATCTTCAGGCCTCAGAGAACCATAAAACACAGAATTTATCAGAAAGGAGAGAATTTCCAGAAGCAAACCCAGCATTTCACATTTCTTCTCCCCCTCCAAAATAAAGGCTGACAAATGTTTCAGAACTAGAAGCTGAGATTGAAAAAAAAAAAAAAAAAGGGGGGTTCAGGAATTGTTGAGTAGGGTAAGCCCAGTAGCTGAGGCTTTAGGATACAGCCCTGTGCTTGGCTGAACAATAACTTCTCCCGAAATGTCTATGTCCTACTCCTCAAAATTTCCAGGTATGATTAAGTTAAGGATCCTGCAATAGGGAGAATATCCAGGATTATTCTGAAGAGCCCAGTATAATCCCAAGAAACCTTACCAAAGGGAGGCAGTATGGTTAAGGATTTATGTAGCTCATTAGTAGAGCATGTGCCTAGCATACTCGGAGCCCTGCATTCAAACCACAGTACAAGGAGGAAAAAAAAATTGTATGTGCTTTTTGAGACAGGTTCTCACTATGTAGTTCTGGATGACCTTGAACTCACAGCAATCCTCAAGTCTCAGCTTCCCAAGTGCTGGGATTATAGACATGCACCACTATACCCAGCTAATTTTTCTCCTTTGAAAGAGAGCTCAAAGCCAACAGCAAAATATGCATACCCATGTTTATAGCTGCACAGTTTGTAATTGCTAAATCTTGTTTTGTTTTGTTTTGCTTTTTTGGGTACCGGGGATCGAACTCCAGTCCTTGCACCTGTGAAGCAGGTGCCAGAAGCACTGAGCTAACTCCCTGGCCCTGTAATAGCTAAATCTTGGAAATAGTCCAAATGCCCATCAATTGATAAATGGATAAAGATGATGTAGGGTTTTTTATACAATGGAGTACTACACTGCCATAAAGGATAAACTTGAGACACATCTAGCTATATGCATGCACATTGAGACTATGTTCTTAAGTGAAAAAAAAAATCAGACACAAATGTTTAAATACCACAATGTTTCTCTGATATGAGAAACCAAAAGTGCAAGTAAGGGCTAAAATGTGTAATAAATATTGGGAAATGGGAAGAAAATGTCCAAATGAGAAGGGAACAAGGGAGAGGGGAGGGGAAAAGTAAAAGGGGACAAAGCAAAAAGAGGGAAACAAAGCTTTTGTACATAAGGAGGGGAAGTGCGGTTGAAGTGAGAGAAAAGAGGGCAATGGGCAAAAGAAGAGGCAAGATATGTACAGGTACAAATTCCCAACGATAAGTGTTATCATTATGTATATCTAAAATGTGCCCAAAAAAAATAATTTTTAAAAAAGCCAAAACCAGCAGCCGGGTGTGGTGGCGCACGCCTGTAATCCCAGCTACTCAGGAGGCTGAGGCAGGAGGATCACTGTGAGTTGAAGGCCAGCCTGGGCTACATAGTGAGTTCCAGGTCAGTCTCAACTACAGAGTGAGACCCTGCCTCAAAAAAATAATAATAATTAATAAATAAAATAAACCAGGCATGATGATGGTGGGGCACACCTATAGTCTCAGCACTTGGGAAACTGGGACAGTAGAATCATAAATTAGAGGACAGCCTGGGATACACAGTGAGACCTTCTCTAAAAAAGAGAGGGGTGAGGGGACAAGGAGACCAAAGTTAGGAGCAAAGGAGCTTTGAAGATGGAAGCAAAGACTGAGGAGATGGAGCTATGTGCCAAGGAGCAATGACTGCTAGCTTCACAGGTGTATCCAAGCCTGGCTTGTCTAAACCCCATTAAGTAAAACTGTCATGGGTCACTAATAAAACATGTATGTCAGTGACAAAAAATAGTCAAGATAAAGCAAATACACAAATGTACAAGTGTATCCTGTACAAACAAGAATGGATTAGGTGAAGGGCCGGGGATTTAGCTCAGTGGTTCCAGCATCTGCCTCACAAGCACAAGGACCAGAGTTCGATCCCTGGTACCAAAAAACAAACAAACAAACAAACAGAAGAATAGAGAGGGTGAAATGACACCTGCTCAACCACACTTAGGACAGTCAGTACATAACAAACGGCTGCCTGAGTGACACTCCAGGTAAACTGATAAGAGGTTAAAATTGTATTACAAAGCTATGGCACTGAAAAATAATGTGGTTGGCATAATAACAGACACGTAGATCAGTGGAACAGAACAGTGAGCCCAGAAATAACTAAACATATACAATCAACTACATTTCAAAAAGAGCACCAAAAGAAACCCCACAATGGGAAAACGATAATCTCTTCAATATCAGATAAGTGGATAACATCCCTGATTTCAGAATATTCATAAAACTCAATAGTAAGAAAACTTACAAACCAATTTAAAAAATAGGGAAAGGACATGAACAAACATTCCAAAGTTGATATAAAAATAGCCAAGCGAAATATGAAAGCATGATCAACATCATCAGAGAAATACAAATTTAAACTACACTGCAATACCATCTTGTGCCTATTAAAATAGCTATTATCAGATAAGAGATATGTGGGTCAGTGCAACAGAAGATGAAGAAACAACCCCAGGCACAGTAAGTTATCTGATCTTTGACAAAGTAGCGAAAAACACATATCAGAGGAAAGACGGCCTCTTTCCACTTGTTCCACTGAAAAGCCAAATCTCTAGAAATAGAATGTAGATCATCTACAGATTGGAAAGTGGACAAACTGAGTGAAGGCCATTAACTAAGGGTCTACAGCTTCTTTGGAGGATAATAAAATTTTCAAAAGTTGATCATTTTCATGGATGTACAACTCTGTGGATATACTTCCACTCATTCACACTCTTCAAATGGGTGAATTGTATACTATGTAACTATATCCCAATAAAAAGGAAACACCTGTGGGAATCAGCATGAAGATACCTCAAAAAAGTAGGATTAGAGGTCCATTTGACCCAACTATTCCCCTGCTGGGTATCTTCCCAAAAGAATTAAAAGACTCATACCACAGCGATATATGCACACTCATGCTTATAGCAGCACAGTTTGTAATAGCTAAAACTTGGAAACAGCCCAACTACCCATCAACTGATGACTAGATAAAGATGTGGGTTTTTTTGTTTTGTTTTGTTTTTATAAAATAAGTACTACTCAGCCATAAAGAATGAGAAACTACAGACATTTACAGCTAAATGGATGCATACTGGGGCCATACTCTTTAAGTGAAATTAAATAGGACACACATGTGTAAATATTGAATAGTTTCCTATGGTGCGAGAAACCGAAAGTGTAAATGAGGATCAAAATGTGTAACAGATAATGTGAAATAGGAAGAAAAGGTCCAAAGGGGAAAGGGATGGGAAAGTGGGAGGGGTGGGGAAAAGGAAAGAAGGGAAAGGAATAAATATGAGAAAAGAGAAAAAAAAACAGAAACAAAGTCTTTATAAATAGGGAGGGGCAGAGGGTTTGAAGGGAGGGCAGAGGAATGGGGAAAAACATAAGAAAAAGATATATTATGTAACAGTACAAATTCCCAATGATAACTGTCATCGTATTGGATACCTAAAATGTACCAATAAACTTAATGAATAAAAAAAAAAATACAACTAAGATGTGCAAAACTGCAACACAAAAAATGTACAAGCTGGGCGTGGTGGCGCACACCTGTAATCCCAGCACTCAGGAGGCTGAGGCAGGAGGATTGTTGTGAGTTCAAGACCAGCCTGGGCTACATAGTGAGTTCCAGGTCAGTCTCAACTACATAGTGAGACCCTGTCTCAAAAAACCAAAACAAAAAATGTACAAAAGAACAAGAGATTTTACAAAAACATAAACAAGGTTTTTAAAGGACATAAACAGAAGAATATACTAGAGTCCATGGACTGCGAATTGAACCTAAGGCCTCATGCAATCTTGGTAGATCAATGAACTACATTCCAGCCATTTTGTCTTGTCTTATTTTGTTTTGAGTCTGGGATCCGGCTATGTACTTCAGACTGACCTTGAACTCACTATGTAGCCCCAGTTAACCTCAAATTCACAACAATCCTTCTGCCTTGGCCTCCCCACTGCTGGGATTACAGGTGTGAGCCACCACATCTAGCTGTCCTTTACCTTTTTCTTTTTTTGAGACAGACTCTTGTGTAGCCCAGACTGGCTCTGCATTTTCAACCCTCTTGCCTCAGCTTCCAAAGTAGCTGGGATTACAGGCATGCATCACTGCACTGAGGGAGGCAAAAATTTCCTTAGACTAGAAATACTGAAAAAATCCTATATAATAAAAGGACAAAGTATACCTTCAAAAATATGAAAATAATTTAAGATGGCAACTTCACAAAAAAGAACATCAAAACATAAAGAAACACTCTTGACTTCATTGGCTGAGGTAACACAAATTGAAACCAGTGAGAAAATACCATACACCTACCACAGTGACTAATGTCAGAGTTAAGCACTGAAGTTGAGCAAAGAACTTGAAAACTCTACAAAGCATTAATAACAAATTTACATAGAAGAAGCTACATTGAGGAGTACAAAGTTCCCTAACTCTAATATGAATGATATTTTCAATAATATCTTACCTCTTTTTGAACAAGGCTAACTTTTTCAAGTAGTTTGCATTTTTCTTCAATTAGTTTAGAAAGTTTTATAGCAAGGTGTTTTTCTCTCCCTGGAAGAAACAATGATATATATCTCATAAATAGATTACAAGTTTTTAAATTATGTACAATGAGATAAAATAGAAAAATCAGCTTACCCACATAACACCGGCTTCTAACCTGAAACACATTTTTAACAAATATTACATTAAAATAAATACATTCAAGTAAATCTAATTTATTAAACTTCTATTCCCAACTTAAAAATAACAACAGATTTCTACTTGCCTTACTATGAATACCAGTCAGCCAAAAATGTTCTATTTCCAATAAAGAAAATGCTACATTCCCTACATGTAATGAGGAGTCACATTATACGTGACCATATTAAAGACTCTGAAGTTAGGGTAAAGATATAAAGATACATGTTGAATTTTATTTAATCCAGTTTCCTAAACATATTTGGCCCTAAAACAAACTATCTCAAGAAGCCCCTCTTACCATATCCCCTAATAGCCAAAATAAAAGCCTGAGAAATGTTACCCTACGGCTACAGATCTGAGCTGACTAAAGAAACCATAAATCAAATCTTTTCTTCTCTTAAGTTTTCTCTCAAATAATAAAGGAGGGTAGATCCATTGTAAAAGGATCAGCTTTGGAGCTGAGGTAACATAACCAAATAGAAAAGACAAAAGAGGACTTAAATCACTACAAACTATGTATTGAGATAAATAGTAACAGAAAATTTAAGAGAAGACAGTAGAATGGATGTACATGAAAAGGAAATTAGGGAACTGAAGCATCAGATCAAAAGTAATCAAAATCCATAAAGAAATTAAAAAATAAAATATGGAAGTGAGCAGATGGACCCAAACCTAAAAACCAGTAGCCCCAAAAAGGAAAAAAAAAATTTAAATGAAGAAGAAAGGCCAGGCATGGTAGTGCACAACTGTAATCCCAGCACATTCAAACCCAGCCCCGGCAGCTGAGCAGGACTGTCTCAATTCTGAATACTATAAAAAGGGCAGAGGATACAGCTCACTGTGAAGGCCTTGGGTCCAACTTCCAGTATCATTTAAAAAAAAAAAAAAAAAAAAATCACTTAAAAATGAGTAAGAATCACACATTAGTGACACCAGAGTCAAAATGAAAAAACAGCAAGATTTTAAACTAAGGAAACTAAGGAGAGAACTTTAGACTTAGCTTATTTGTAGCTGAATAAACTGCCACTCCAGTAGGACTTAATTCAAACACACTCAAGAGCAGGGCACAGTGGCATGCTCCTGTAATCTCAGCTACTCAGGAGGCTGAAGCAGAAGGATCGCTGTAACATGATGTAGACCAGAAAAGTAAAAGGACTCCAATAGATGAAAGTGTGCTAAGGTTACTGTCTCTCTAGGAAAAAGATTTACTTATCAATATGAAAAGAATTTAAAAAACACAAAAAATGGAACAAATTAATAAGCTAATCTATAAGAAAGTAGTTCAATACACCGATAATTATACATAGACTGATTACGCTCAATAGTGAAAGGAGTATTAAATTAGAATGCATCAAAAAATGTATACAAAACATAGTATACATTAAGTAGAGACTATGGAAAGCCTAGAAATGCCAAGGATAAAAGACACTGACTATCAATCAAAAAAGCTGGTAGGGGTTCTGGGGATTTAGCTTAGTTGCACTGTACCTGCCTCACAAGCACAAGGTCTTGAGTTTGATCCTCAGTACCACTAAATAAATAAATATTACAAAGAAAATGAGAAGAAATTTCTTGCTGGGCAGGGTGCAATATATACAGTAATGCTATTTGTAACAGAAAACGTTTAAAAACAATCCACGTGTCCAAGACCATAAAATCTGTGAATAAACTACAGTCTATTCTTATAATTGTATTCTAGAGCAATCAAAACGGAAAAAGTTATAACCTCATTTAAAAATATGGATGAGTGGGGCCAGGGATTTAGCTCAGCAGTTCAGTGGCCTGCCTCACAAGCGCAAGGACCCGAGTTCAATCCCTGGTACCAAAAAAGAAAAAAAAAATATGGATGAGTGAGCCAGGGATTTAGCTCAGTGGTTCGGCCATCTGCCTCTCAGGCACAAGGACTGGAGTTCGATCTCCGGTACAAAAAAGTATATGGATGAGGGGTGGGGATATAGCTTAGCAGCACAGCTCTTGTCTAGTATGTATAAGGCCACAGGTTCAATCTCAAGTACCACAAAAATAAATAAAACATGGATGAGTCTTAACATAAAATAAATAAAAAAGCTAAAAATATGACGTATGTCATGATGCCAAGGAAAATTAGAGCCTATGTTATTACTCCAAGCCATTTTTTAAAGGAAAAGGAATAATCAACACAGGCTCCAGGACAGGGTTACACCCAATACAGGGAGGCAGAGGGATGAAAGGAGAAGGTAATGACAATGCTTCTGACTCCACGTCGGGTGACACACACACAGATATGTGTTAAAACAAACACAGACTTCCCAAAGAAGGTGGAGAGGAGGAAGAAAAAGCGAAGGAAGAAGGAGAATTAAAGTAGTGTTTTAGTATTGATACAGAATACTTTCTACAAAGAAATTCTTTAAAGTGCGCCAAAAAAATTCCTCTGACTCTATTGTTTCTAGCGTCCACACATTAGTATGAACAACCCACAAAACTACAACCTGTTTCCTTAAATAACGAATGTGTTTCTCTTATTATCTGTTCAATCTAAAGACAGAATTTAATTTTTTAAAATATTTTTAAGAGACAGAATGAACATTCCCTTAGTATACGGTGGTTACTTACTGATCGAAAACTTCTCCATAAAAATAAGAGAACAGCAAAAAAACCAACAACAGCTGCCCCCATCACCAATTCCCATGATAAACCAGAGGGATTCGGGCCTGGTCTCATCTCTTCAGGCAGTGCTGCCACAACCTTCAAGACAAAGAAAATTAAATCCCTAAATATGCATTCTTGACAGAAAGTGTTGATTCAAGTGTATAGGATCAACTCTATTAAAAACCTTCTCAGACGAACACCAAACAGAAGGCAACTGAGGACATTTTCTGGCAACTTTCAACTACCATCACCAGGCCATGAGGAACAGCAGTATGGTGAAACACAGGGACTGTCACACTGCAGTCCCATGGAGATGCCTCAGAGCTTTTCAAGATGAGAGTAAGAAATGAAAAGCCAAAGACACTGCTTCAGGTGCTCTATGATTTCAAAAGTTGGGGTTTTAACTGAAGGCGCGGTGGGATATGGGGTACCCTTTGAAAAACAACCTGAGTATGAATCAGGTTTTTTCCCAATCCAAAACCTCTATAACAAGTCTACCTTTCCTTGTCCTTTTCTGTAAAGGAAAAAAAAAATCTATCTTTTAATAGTTATTTTCTTCTCCAAACATCTTTTAACTCTGTAATCTCTGTATGTACTCCTTCCAAGTTGTTATCTATAGTTCAATAACCTGTATCAAATAAATGTAGTTATACTTCTAAAAACTGTCCCTTTACCCTGATCCCTCCTGTCTCTCCTTACATTACTTCAGTGACATCAGTCAAGCAATAATAAAAATACTGATTTTTGCCTCTAGGAAAAAGAGCAATTTGGGCTGGGGATTTAGCTCAGTGATTCCACCACCTGCCTTGCAAGCTCAAGGTCCAGAATTCAATTCCCAGTACCAAAAAAAAAAGAGCAATTTTATATACAGTATTGGAGAGAAGAAGTTCTCCTCACAGCTTACATATTCTCTAAGCATCTTATTTCAGCTAACTTATTCAACACAAAAGATGCACATTACTGACCCAGGTATGGAGGTACAAGCCCTGTAACCCCAGCACATGGGAGGCTGAAGCAGGATTACAAATTGGCAGGCCAACTTGGGCAATTCAGCAAGACCTTGTCTCAAAAATTTAAAGGGGAGGAGTGGTGCTGCTCAGTGCAAAGGCCCTGGGTTCAATCCCCAGGACTACAAAAAAGAAAAAAAAAAAGCAGACAGGCAGACAATTTCCATGTTCAGATCCTGAGAATATCTGATCGTAATGTAAAGGTACACCTCTTAAAGATATTATACTTGAAAATAACTTCTCCTTTACGTGTTAGTCATGCTAAAAATTAAATTATTTTTTCCTATAATCAATTATAAACCATGGAAGAGTTCCAAAAAGGGACTGGTGCATTCATTATTCATAAGCTATTTGATGCAAAAATTCTAGCATGCTTTGTAATTTGCTTACATCATTTTGTTTTAAATCTCCCTTTCAAAAGGGATCAAAGAGCTTTATTTTGAATCAGTCTAAAAAGAACTCAGAATTCAGTCTGAACAAGATCTAAAAGGATCAGCAAAATGAAATAATTAACATGAGGAGCTATTAATATTCATTCAAGTATCCACCCATTCACTAATTCTGTATTTATTAACCATTATTTTCCAGACATTTTTAAAACATTTTTTTTAATCTTAGCTGTTTTCATTTCTTAATTACCACTATCATGATAACTCACAAATCTTTGATTCCAACTCTAGGTTTTATGACAGTGGTTTACTGAACAAACCCATTTGGATGTCTTGGAGAGGCCCAAATAGGAAACTCTATGTTCTAGGGAAAGGGTTCTGCTATGGTATTTGTTGATGTGAGGAAGAAGGCAGTCATTCCCAAAGTCAACAACTCAGATCAAAAAGGTGTGAGGAGAACGCTGAAAGGAAACCAATATTTGATTTAAGATAGGAAAATGCTATTTCAACTTGTCATCCTTTCTTGGGACCAGATTTTAAGGAAAAGAGAGACAGACTAAAATGGTACCTAGTACAAAAAAAAAAAAAAAAATGATGCCAGGTTCTAAAATACCAACAGAGCCCACCAACCCTGCAGAACAAGGCATATTGTTAATTAAATTATCTATCTGCATTTTTGAATTAAGCATTCCAATTAAATGGCAGACTAACAAAATGGGAAAAAGTGACCCAATTGTGTGCCTCCGACAACACAAGCTTTAAAGACATACATGTGTTGGTAGTAAAAGGATAGAAAAAGAGATCCTATGCAACAATAATCAAAAGACTGCTGGAGTGGCTATACTAATATCAGACAAAATAGACTCTAAGACAAACATTGTTATTACAAACAAATGAAGACATTACATAATAACACATGTCTCCTTAATCTTTAAAAAGTAACAACTGGGCCCAGCTGGGTGGTGCACACCTGTAATCCCAGCACTCGGGAGGCTGAGGCAGAAGGATCCTAGTGAGTTCAAGACCAGCCTGGGCTACATAGTGAGTTCCAGGTCAGTCTCACCTATACAGTGAGACCCTGTCTCAAAAAACACAAAAAAAAACAAACAAAAAAAGTAACAACTGTAGCAAGGTGTGCCCATGCTTGCAATCTCAGCATTTAGGAGGCAAAGGTAAGAGGATCCTAGGAGGCTAGCCTGAACTACACAGCAAGAAGAGGGTGGGTGTAGTGGTTATAATTGTAAACATATTGGAGGAGGAGGAAGAGGAGGAGGAGGAAGGGGGGAGGGGGAGGGGAAGGGAGTGGGGAGGAGTTGTTGTTACAATTGTACACATATTTTACCTACCACAAGACACAAGATACAAGTAAAATCACAAAATGAAACCTGATACAATTAAAGGGGAAAACAGACAATTCAACAATAGTTGGAGATTTGAAGCTCTCACTTTCAATAATTCAAAGGACTAGACAGCAGATCAGCAAGAAAAAAACATGAACACTATAATCTAACTAGAGCTAACATATCAACAAAATTTACCACTTAACAACAGCAAAAAATCACATTCAAGTGTATGCATGTAATATTCTTCAGAACAGAACCATATATTGAGCTATAAAATGAATCTCAAAAAGTTTTTTTTGTTTGTTTGTTTTGGTTTGGTTTGGTTTGGTTTGGTTTGGTTTTTTGAGACCAGGTAGTTGAGACTGACCTATGTAGCCCAGGCTGGTCTCGAACTCACAGTGATCCTCCTGCCTCAGCTTCCCAAGTGCTGGGATTACAGGCATGTGCCACCATGCCCAGCCTCAAAAAGTTTTAAAGCTGAAATTATACAAAGTATCTTCCTTGACCATAATGAATAAAAATTAGAAAACGGTAACAAAAAGAAATCTGGAAAATTCACAAATATGTGAAAATAAATAATAATCTCATGAATAACTAGTAGGCCAAAGAAGAAATCACAAAGTTAGAAAATATTAAAGATTGAAAATAAAAATGCAGCATATCAATACTTATAGGATACAGTTACAGTAGTGTATAAGGTACGAGAAAATGACATAAAAAATTTAGTGAATAAAAAAATGATAAGAGAAAAATCAATAAAACCATGTTAGTTGTTTGTACTAAGAATCAAACTCAGGACCTTGCACTTGTCAGGCAGGCACAGGGCCACTGAGCTATATATATATCCCTGGCCCTAAATGTTAGTTGTTTTCGTTTTTTTTAATCTTTTTTTTATTGGGTTTCTTTTTTCCAGAGCTTAGAGTTTTTCTCCTACTTTTTTCTTTCTTTTCTTTTCTTTTCTTTTTTTTCCTCATTGAGTTTATTGATACATTTTAGATATACAGTAGTTTTTTTTAAAGATCAACAACCAAATCAAAAAGAAAAAAATAATAACAAAATGGGCACACATTTAGGCAACCAGAAAATTTTAAAAAACTCATTATTAAAATCAGTTAAAGGAACATTACTAACAAATTCATAGAAATAAAGATCATAAAATAATATTATAAACAACTGTATGACCACAAATTAAACCTAAAAAATGGATAAATTCATAAAAACACACAAGCTAACAAAACTAACTCAGAAACAGAAAATCTGACTTATAACAAGTAAATAAAAGTCAAAAACTTCCAACAAAGAGTGCAGAACCAGATGTTTTCACCACAATTTTAAAGAAAAACTAACATTATCATTGGGGAACGCTTCCTAATTTATTCTATAAGGGTAGCATTTACCCTGATAAAAAGCCACAAAATACATCACAAAAAAGAAAAGTATACACCAATGTATTTTATGACTATAAATGTAAAAACATTCAACAAAATACTAGCAAAGTGAATCTAGCAGCAAGCAAAAAGGTTTATGCACCACAACTAAGTAAGATTTAATCCCAAGAATTCAAGGTTATGGTTTAACATACAAAAATAAATCAGTGTAGTATCCCATAAAATAGAATGAAGAAAAAAACAAAAGAGCACATGACTACCTCCACAAACAGTAAAGAAGAAAGTGACAAATTCTATCATCCTTTCATGATCAAGCATTCAACAAACTGGGATTAAAGGGAACTGGTCAACCAGACCAGGAGTACCTGTGCAAAACCTGCAGCTAACATACTTACAGGTGAAAGAAGGAAAGCTTCCCCCTATCATCAGGAACAAAGGCATCCACATTTATTCAACAGTGCACTAGAAGTTCCGGTCAGGCCAGTTAGGCAAGAAAAGAAATAAAAGATATCTAGATTGGAAAGGAAGAAGTACAACTATCACAATTTGAAGATGACACAATCTTGTATACAGAAAATCCTAAAGAACCCACAAAAAAAACCCTAATGAACAAGTTTAGCAATGTTGCAGGATACAAATCAATACAGAAAAGTCAATCTCATTTTTATCCAATAGCAATGCTCAACCTAAAAATGAAAGTAACACCAAAAAGAGTAAAATATGCCAGATATGGTGGCATGTGACTGTAATCCCAGCATTTGGAAGGCTGAGGCAGGAAGATCTTGAGCTCAAAGCCAGCCAAGACTACAAAGTGAGTTCCAGACCAGCCTGAGGTACAAAGAGATCCTGTCTACACACACACACACACACACACACACACACACACACCAGGAATAAATTTATCAAAAGAATCTTATACTAAAAACTACAAAAGACTTTTGAAAATTAAGGAAGTTCTAAATAACAGAA